AGAAATGTTTTGAGAATGATGAGGGCAATGAATGTACAAATGCTCTTTACACAATTGATGTGTGTATGGATTGTGATAAGAGTTGTATGAGCCCTTAATAAAATGATAAAAAAAATTAAAAAACAAACAAGCAAAAAAAGATTTCTCCCAAGTTGTCTCCCAAAAATATATGCCAAAAACATAGCTGCTTGCTACACTTGGCGAATGACTATACACTTGGAGGTCAACAGAAGTAGGTCAGGGGTTATTCTCCCTAAGGGTTATCAGCTATCCAGAACAAGCAGTCACCACTGTTTATCCCACAAAAAGTAGGATCCACTCCCTTCTGATAAGGATAGTAGTTGACTGTTTCCTTGTAGGAGACCCCAGAGAGGTCAAGCCCACCCAAGGGTGACCAAGGTTAGCCTGCTGTCAAGAATCCACCCATCTTGTCACATGTATATAGTCTTTCCCCATCCTATGTGCACACCTCTAGCTCATCCCCTTCCTGTCATGCTTGTATTGCCTATTGTACAGCCCATTCCTGTGACGTGTGGTTACCTGTGTTCACACCCCCTAAGTAGATAAAAGCCTTGGTTAGCAATAAACGGGGTCTCAGCCCACCTCATCTCCTGCTTGCAGCCCCCAAGCTGGCTTCCAGGTCTCCGTCCCACCTCGCCTCGGCCCACACTGTGTGCGGACCTGGCTGGTAAGATCATGGCCATCCAGAAGGTGAGCGTGCTACTATGAAGTGTGTCTGACTCCATTATTTCAACCTCTCCTCTATCTCTCACACTCTTTATGACGTTATTGTAATCTTTGTATATCTCAACCATACAATTGCGCTTACAGAACCCGCTTACTGAACCCCACACTGATGGTTGCATGCCCACGTGCCTTTGCTGTCCATTAGTAAGAGCGGGGCAAGTGGCTGGCTCCCAGTGGAAGATATGCATTCCACCCAGGGCTGGCCCGCCCGCTGACTACGCTAATGGACTGGGGCTATTTGAAAGGTACTGTCTTTTCTGTCTACAAAGCTCTTGTTCTTGCTTCTTCTCAGCGATGGCTGCAGGGGAAATGCTCCCTCAGATTTCTTCACAGAACTCCTGCAGCTGTCAAGCAGGGCAAGAAGCCAGAATACTCAGGGAACAATTTGAGGAGGCATCAGCACGGTTCGCTTGGGGCAGGACTCCCAACACAAAGTCTCCTGCTCCTTTCCCTTTCCCTTTTGAAGCCAGAGAGCCAGCCTTTGATTTGTGGGCTGATGCTATCTTGTAGCCTGCTGGGTGTAGCTGGATCTGGGAGGCACTTCATCCCCCAGCCCAACCCCCTGGAGCCTCCTGAGCCCCACCGATAATATCACAGGGAGCTGAGGTGCTGCTTTCTACCTTGAAATGGCTTCATTTGGCTGTGAAGCCCCTCAGCTTCCTGGAACTTGCATTCAGCACTCCTCAGCAGTAATTGTTAGGCTCCACTCGAGGCTCTGATAAGGAGGCCAGAGCTGGATCGGCTGGTTTTGTTTCTGTTTGAAGAGTGTATCCCCAAAGGAATGAGATGTGTCCCAGATTCAACACAGCTGTTAATTAGAGCTGAGAACACTTGGTTGACCCCTGTGTGGCTAATTGCTAGCATGGAGAAGAGTCTCAGAGGGCTTTGTATGATAACAACTGAAAATTGCACTGAGCGTCACCTAATGCTTCTGGATTCAGAGCAGGATGGAAAGCAATAGGCTCCCTGTGGTTCCTGGCACAGGAGAGGCAACTATGTGCTGAAGGAGCAGTATTAAGGATTCTCTTCAGTGATTAAAACACCCACATTTCACGCTGGATGTGTGACTTGAGGCAGTGTGCTCAGAAGGGCTTATCCGAGAGCTCAGAACAGTGCGGAGTAGGGTAGGTGGCCTACTTTGGAAGACTGCAAAGACGGCGCTAACTTTCCACCTCCGTGCCAGCCCCACTGCCACCGCCAGGCCACTTCTGTGGGACAGGATGTGACACACATCTCCTTTGGGGACCCTAGGTCAGCTTTGGAGGTGTAGCCTGAGGGAGGCAACTGTTCAGTTTCCCCATCTTACAGCAACCATGACGCCTAGCTCTGCCCATGAGAAAAGGCCTGGAAATCACCTAGTTCCCCACCTGGCACATGGGGGTAGCAATCCCCTGACCTCCCCCTGTTTGCTCAGTGGGCAGAGAACCATGGTGTAAATCACCAGAAACAGCCAAGTCAGCTGAAGAGGTGGGCCCGGGTGGGAAAAAGAGGTAACAGAGACAGAAAGTCATACAGTCAGGCCACTTGCCAGAGTGCCAGCGGTCCAGGAGAGGGAAATGGGGCCCAGAGAATGGAGTAGGCACCAAGGAATTCTCTGGTGGAAAGGAGAAGGGGCCACAAGATAGAGTGGTAAGAGAGGTGGCCCGTCCTCCTTGCTCCCCAGGTTCTGAGAGAGAGTGAGAAGCTACAGTCGAGACAGTGTTTTGGTCTTCTCAGCCAAGAGGCCCAGAGCATACCCCAGATAGTTCAGTGTTCTGGCGCTCCACTCCCTGAGCCTGGCCCAAGGAAAGTGGCCTGGAGCCAGCCGTGTAAGGGGAGACTGGTGATTCCTTTCACAGAGCAGGTCCCAACCATGGGTCCAATTCCAGGAAGTGACAGTAGCAAAAAGCAACCCCCCCATCAGTCCTGCCCAGGGCTGGGGAAGAGAAAGACCTAGAGGGAACTAGAGAGTACGGAAATACATTTTTCCCCCTAGATCTTAGAAGAACCCTGGTGGTGTAGTGATTAGGACTGGGCCACACTCCACAAAGTACCAAGTTTGAAACCACCAACTCTGTAGGAGAAAGATGGGGCTTTCTACTCCCTTATACATTTACAGTCTCAGAAACTCACAAGGGCAGCTCTACCCTATAGGTTGGCATCCACTCAATGGCTGTGAGTTTGGTTTGGGGAGATTGACTGTTGGGGGCAACCTGTTCCCAGACAGCTGGGGACTGACTCTCTAGCTGGACCTGCCAGCCCCTCCTTTTTGTCGACACCTCTCACGAACAAAAGCTGATGGAGTAGTCCTTGGGCACTCAGCCCTTTGGGGGCGATAGTGGAATGAACAGACACAGCCAGCAGGGCTGCTGCCTGCAGGCAATGTGCTGGAGAAGAACTCACACATCAGGAATGGCAACGCACATGCAGGAGAGCATCTAATTATGAGCTAAAGGGTGGGTGTGAGCTAAGCTTTGTAGAAACTGGAAGGAGGCCAGGGAGGGATCCAGTAGCCAGGGACACTCCGTGGAGAAGGTGGAACTTAAGGATAAGGACTTGGATACCGGGACAAGTTGGTCTTGCTCTCCTGGAAGGTTCGTGTTAGAAAACAATGTTCCTTTGTTGCCATAAAGGTACACAAAGCTTGACATCTGGAGACTTTTCATGTTATATCTCATACTTGCTTCTCACAAGCCCCTTAAGCAATAGTTTTTGCTGTCAGAATGATATAGTCCAAGCTCCCTACAGGACTTTGGGAAAAATGAATCCTAAAGAGGAGGGGTGAGCAGCTCAAGGTTGTCCAATCAGCAAAGATGCGACTGATGGCTGAGGTGCAGAGGGTCTTTCTAATGACCTCGTAGGCATGCAGAAGCTGACCATGAGAAAGGAAGACCCCCCCAAAAGAATTGAACCATTTGGAGTATATTACGAACTGCCAGAAGAAAGAACAAATCAGAGAAGAAATAAAACTAGACAGCTCCTTAGAAGTCAGGGTGACTCGTCACCAAGCAAGGCTAATTTTCTAGAACAGAACTCCATGTTTAGTAAAGGATAGGATCAATGAAAAGGAGGGACGCCTTCAGACACAGTTGCTCCAACAATGAACTCACGCATATCATAAAGATGGTGCCGGATCGTGTGGTAATTACATATTTCACATCAACTTGAAGATATATAGAAGTATAGGGGTGGACTTTAGTTTGCCAATCAGGTCACAGCCTGATAGAGCCTCCTTATGGGCATGGCCTTCTCAGAAGGAGGGCCCTGGGAACCTCCCCTTTTCTCTCTGCCTCCTTTCTGGCTGACCCTGATTGCTGCCCTGGAGATGCATCCACTGCCATTAGATCCACAAGACTTTGCACCGACTGCCTGTAACATTCCTGCGTTCTGCAGCATCACATGTGGCTGCGTGAGTCTGAAGAGGGATTTGTGGGCTAGATTCAGAATTATGGACTTGAGTTGGACTGGGCTGGGATGTTTCCTTGATAAGCAATTACTTCTTGATATAAAGCTCTTTCTTACACATATATGAGTGTCACTGGATTTGTTTCTCTAGTTAACCTGGCCTAACCCAGATTGGACAATGTTTCTGTCTGTTATACATGTAAGGTCATTCTGAGTCAGCTAACCAGAACAACTAGTTCTAAGCCTGTAACTCAGGTCTAATTCTTTTAGTTGATTGGGCTGTCCAAAAACTACATAAATGAAATTTTATTTTCATTTTTGTGGAATCCTTGCTTATAAGAGAGAATGATACTGAAACTTAGCAACAACATATGAAAACTCAGGAGAGGGAGGAAGGGTGGGGGAGGGAGAGGGAAAAATGAGGAGCTGATACCAGGGGCTCAAGTCAAAAGCAAATGATGAGAATGATGAGGGCAACAAATGTACAAATGTGCTTGTGATAAGAGTTGTCAATAAAATGATTAAAAATAAAAGGACATCCAGGACAGGTAAATCTATAGAGACAGTAACTGTCTGTACACCTGGGGCATGGCAGGGGAGGTTGGGGGGAAACAGGGAGCTAACGAGTCCGAGGGGACAATGCTATAAAATTGATTGTGGTGATGACTGCACAACTCTTCTTAAGATGAAGAAACAATTAAGTTGTATGCTATGTGACATATATGCCAATAAAACTATTTTCTCTAAAAAAAAATGAAACGGACTAACTTTATGTTTTATTTTTTACAATAAAGGAGGCATATGATCATCATAGAAAATTCAGACAACATGGCTGATCCTGACAATGGCATCCCTTGGGTCTTGACCAGCTGGACACGTGCACCAAAGACAGAGGCCAAGAACAAACTAAGAGGGCAGAAGGCCAGGAATGTCTTCCGCATAGCGAGCCACAGAAACCTTAAGTATAAAATCAAAGCCAAGTCAGTTAGCACGAATCTTAGGAAGATAAACAATGTGAATGATGAAAATAGTGAGGGAGTAAATAAAGTTTTTCTCAACATACAAGAGGAACCCACACACTTCTCAAAAGGTCTTGCCCTTGAACATCTGCAGAAACAACTGGTCCCTCAGCAGCATCAAGAAAATGGATCAGTTAATGCTGCCGAGGCTACAAGTTTAGTAGCCCAGTTATACATCTAATTCTGGGGGGGCGTAAGCCAATAAATATAATGTTTTATACTCCCCCAAAAGAAAGAAAATATGGATAAGGAGAAACTGTTTTAATTATCCAGAATAACAGCATCCAGTTCATAGACCTTTTACATCTCATTAAGAGTTTATCTTATGCACAGGTAGTGTTAGCCCCAAAGCAAATTCCCTGGTCTTCAGGGTGCTGTAAGCACCATCAGGAGGAGCATGTTAGGCACCACAGTGTGGCAGAAAGTGGCATACATACAAGTTGCAGGTCAAAAATCGAGGATCAGATTCCGGGCCCATCACGATCCCCTGCGGGATCTTCCGTAAGCCTCCCACAGGGTTGTTTCTTCTTCGCAGAATGACGAGGTCACAGCGATCCACTTCCAGGTCTGCCGAGATGCCTGGTTTGGGTCTGGATCTCAAAACCAAGCATGAGACGCGTGGAACTATTAATGAAAAGAAACGAGTATTTTTTAAAAGGTATCTTTTTTTTTTCCTTCAAGCATGTAACAGCATATTAAAATAAGCCTCTGTCTTTCTCAGACTTCTGGCTGGGCCTCCAAAACTAAAAGCAATGGGTTCAAGTTTCCCCATAGCCTACTGTATATACTCGAGTATAAGCCGAGTTTTTCAGCACATTTTCTTAAAAAATCATTTTATTAGGGGCTCATACAACTCTTATCACAATCCATACA